GTGGTGCTGAGTAATCGAACCCAGGGCCTCAGGCATGCAAGGCAAGCACTCTACCTCTGAGCCACCTTCCCAGCCCAATGTTTATTATTTTTGATCATCCTGGGGCTCGAACTCAGAGCCGGGTGCTGTCTCTGAGGGTTTTCTTTTGCTGTTGTTATTTTTTGTTGTTTTTGCTCAAGGCTAGCAAACTGCCACTTGAGCCATAGCTCTGCTTCTGCTATTTTTAGTGGTTAATTGGAGATAAATGTCTTACATGGCTGGGCCCCAGTGACTCATTCCTGTAATCCTAGCTACTCAGGCAGCTGAAATGTGAGGATGGAGGTTCATAGCCAGCCTAGGAAGGAAAATTGGTGAGATCCTTATCTCCAACTAGCTACCAAAAAAAAAAAAAAAGCCAGAAGTGGCGCTGTGGCTCAAGTGAAAGAGCATTAGCCTTGAGTTTAAAAAAAAAATAATAAAGCTCAGGAACAGCATTCAAGCCCTTAAAACCAGGCTGGCATCAAACCACGATCCTCACATCTCAGCCTCCTGTTAGCTGGGATTACAGGTACAGCCATCAGCACTGGGCTGGTCACAGTATTGATGGATTTCTCTCTCTTCCCTCCCAGCCTCACTTTTAAGCCTCTGGAATGCACCCACAAAGGCCCAGCTCACTGCTGAAACCGTGCCCCCCATTGTTGCTGAAGGGGACACCGTGCTCCTGCGTGTCCACCATCTGCCACCAAATCTTTTTGCCTTTCGCTGGTTCAAGGGAGAAGAGACCATCCACAGCCATCACATTGTCTTCTTTCTGCCAGCAAATGGACAATCCAAAACAGGTCCTGCCTACACGGGCAGAGAGATCGTGTTCTGTGATGGCTCCCTGGTATTCAAGAATGTCACTTGGAATGACACTGGGATCTACACCCTACAAATCATACAAGAGGACTTGTGGAGTCAGACGGTGTCTGTGGAGCTCCATGTAGCCCGTGAGTGATTCTCATGAGCTCTGGGTGCCAGGAGAAGTAGATGCACTGAACACACAGGCTGGCAGGCCTACACAGAGTCTACCTCTTATTCTGCAGGATGTGGCTTTGTTGGGGTTTGGGTATTGAAGGCAGGACTTACTGGGAGCCAAGTCCACCCCTCCCCCCCAGACTTGTTACAGAGGGCACAGAGGGACGGTCCACAGGCCACAGTCCCACCGTCCTAGAGAGGGTCTGAGTTCCCAGAAGGCAAAATGGGAGAAAAGATGTCCCTTAGTGGTCCCTTTTCCAGAAGGAATTGTGTCCCAAGTATTGTCTTGTGGGTCATAGAGAACAGAAGCTGATTGTCAGATACTTACTTGCCCAGAAAATACTGAGAGTGTTCATTTTGTTTTGCTTTGTTTTAGTACTTCTAAGGCTTGAACTCAGGGCCTAAGCTCTGTCCCTGAGCTTTTTTACTCAAGGCTAGTGTTCTACCACTTAATCCACAGTTCTACATTAGGCATTTGGGTGATTAACTGGAGATGAGTCTTATGGACTTTCATGCTCAGTCTGGCTTTGAACCATGATCTTCAGATCTCAGCCCCCTAAGTAGCTAGGATGACAGGTGTGAGCCACCAGTCCCCCATTGGAGTTTGTCAGGAGAAAGGAAAAGCTCAACTCTTCCCCATTCAAGTTCACCGACCAAGACATTTTGAAAATTGATGTTAATATTTATGTCAGGATGAATCTTGAGATTAACAAAACAAAACAGAACTGGGATTTTAAACATATCCTTAACCACTAACCTCAGAACTTGCCAAATGAACCCTGCAGACACTGGGGCCCTTGGAACAGTGTTTCATTCATCCATGGGTGTCTGAGCCTATTCCAGGCCCCAGGGCCACCACAGAGACCACAGCATCCCTGTCCCCACCGATCTCTGCCCCTGCAGGCAGCAAGACACAGCATCTGGAATGGGAGGCCAGGGGGTAACAAGAGCCAATAGAGGAGACAGAGCAGGGAGAGGGGAGAAAGTGGAGCCCCAGGTAATCTAAAGGAGAGGGTCAGGGAAGGTGTCTCCCTAGGACACTCCGAGTGTGAGCAGGGGGTGAGAGGGCAGCCAGGGGTGAGCCGCCGTGAAGCCCTCTGGGAAAAGTACTGCACACAGAGAAGGGGTGGCAAGTTCAGGGGCAGTGAAGAAATGGAGGTCATGTTGCTGGCAGAGCCAATAGGAGACAGACTCTCTCTCTCTCTCTCTCTCTCTCTCTCTCTCACACACACACACACACACACACACACACACACACACACACTTATGGCAGGAAATTGAAGACAACTTCTCTCAGGGCTCAGAGCTCTATTTTCCATCCAGTATAGCAATCTCACTAATGAATGATGGATTTCTCTCTTCTCTCCTAGCCTTACTTTCATCAGTCCCGAAGCGGGTCGGCCCTGCCAAGCTCACTGTTGAAATGATACCGCCCTTGGTTTTCAAAGGAGAGGATGTTCTTCTCCGTGTCCACAACATGCCAAGGAATGTGTTAGCCTTCTATTGGTTCAAAGGAGCCACGATCGACCACACCCAAGTAGTTGTCTTCTATTTGGCCTATGTTAGACAATTCGGCCAAGGACCTGCATCCAGTGGCAAAGAGAAATTGTATCCCGATGGGTCTTTGCTGTTGAGAAACCTCACTTGGAAAGATACAGGACTCTACAGCCTACAGATCATACAGGATGGTCCTAACATTGACTTGCTGTCCATGGAGATCCGCCTGGCCTGTGAGTGATGCCCTCCCTGGGTGCCATGAGCCCTGGGTGCTGCATGGGGTAAACGCACTGCACACACAGGCTGGCAGGAACTGCTTCAAGTCTACCTCGTATTCTCTATGATGTGGCCTTGTTGGGGTTTGAGCAGTGAAGGCAGGACTCACCGGGAGCCAGGTCTACTCCCAGAGACTTGTTATAGAGAAGACAGAGGGATGGTCCACAGGCCACGATCCCATTGGTCCGGGGAAACCACAGAGATCCCCTAGGGATGTCTGTGTTCCCAAAGGGATAAATAGGAGAAAAGATGTCTTTCACCTTTTGCCAAAGAAAATGAGCCCCAAGTATTGTCTTGTGGGTCTTTTTTTTTTTTTTGTGAGTCATGGGGCTTGAACTCTGGGCCTGGGCACTGTCCCTCCGCCCTTCAGCTCAAGGCAAGCACTCTACCACTTGAGCTATAGAGCTACTTCGGATTTTCTGGTGGTTTATTGGAGATAAGAGTCTCATGGACTTTCCTGCCCAGGCTGGCTTTGAACCATGAACCTCAGATCTCAGCCTCCTGAATTTTGTGGGTTTGAGAATAGAAGCTGCAGGTGGGGGCATCTAATCTCCCCCAAAATAATGAGAGTATTTTCTTCCCTTTTTTTCTTTTTCTTTTCTTCTCTTATTTTCCTTTCCTTTTCAGTTCTTCCCCCACACACACCTTTTTCTTTGGTGTGAGTTCTGGAGCTTAGACTTAGGACCTGGGCTCTGTCCCTGTACCCTTTTGCTCAAGTGCTCTATTGCTTTAGCCATGGCACCACTTCCAGTTTTCTGGTGATTAATTGAAGATAAAAGTCCCATGGACTTTCCTGCCTGGGCTGGCTTTGAACCGAGATCTTCAAATCTCAGCTTCCTGAGTAGTTAGGATTACAGATGTGAGACACCAGAACCTGGTGAAGGTCTCACTATTGATGGGTTTCTCTCTTGTCCTTCTCAGCCCCACAGGTAGCTGTCCAGTTCCACGCCACCTTTGCCAACATCTTTGTGGAAACTGTGCCGCCCAAAGTTATTGAAGGGAAAGAAGTTCTTCTCCGTGTCCTTAATCTGCCACAGAACATTATGGCCTTTCACTGGTTCAAGGTAAAAGAAGCCATTGACAGCCGTCAAATAGCCTTCTATTTTCCAACTGTCGGCACATCTAAGACAGGACCAGCACATAGTGGCAGAGAGAAATTGTTCTTTGATGGATCCCTGCTATTGCAGAACCTCACCCTGAAAGACACTGGATTCTATACCCTCCAAATCACTCGGACAGATCAGAGGATTGATTTGGTGTATGTGGAGATCTCTGTATTTCGTGAGTGATTCTCATGAGCCCTGGGTCCAGGGTAGACTGACTATAATGCACACACAGGATATGAGGCCTGCGCAGAGCCATTAAGACACACTCACACATACATGCACACACACATACAAACATATGCACATATGCACATGCACACCTGCATTATATGTATACACATACACATATATGTGAATACACATATGCACACATACGCAACATACACACATAAACATGTATGTATGTATGTGTGCACATAACATTCACACACATTCATAACACATACACACATGTGCATGTGCACATACATATATGTACATATGCACATACATAAACAGATGTACGTGCATGAGCACACACATGTATGTATGCATGCATGAACACCAAGGCATGTAAACACACACATGTATGTATACACACATACGTGGGTATATATGCACATGTGAATATGTGTGTTCATATATACACACATACATGCATACACAGACACATATACCCCAAGGCAGGAGATTGAGGACACATTCTCAGGGCTCCATTTTCCCTCCATACCAAGGTCTCAATATGAATGGGGTTTCTCTCTCCTCCCTTCTAGCTTCCCTTTTAACCCTCTGGAAGACACCGATCCCTGCCCAGTTCACCATTGAACCAGCTCTGCCCTTGAAAGAGTCGGACATTTTCCTGAAGGTTCACAATCTGCCAGAGAATCTTTTAGCCTTCCGGTGGTTCAAAGGACAAGAGACCATCACCTCCCAGCAAATCGCCTCGTACGTGACAGGTCTTGGAGTTACTATACCAGGACCTGCATCCAGCCAGAGAGAGATCGTGTACCCCAATGGCACGCTGCTGCTGCAGAATTCCACTCAGGAGGACCTAGGAATATACACCTTACAAACTATAAGTGAAGATCTGTGGTGTGAGAGAAAATCTCAGCATATCCCACTTTAACGTGAGTGATTTTCATGAGCCCTGGGTGCCGAGTAGGGTGAATGCACTGCACACACAGGTTGGCAGGCCTGCACTGAGTCTACTTCCCCTTTTTCATGATACGGCCTTATTGGGGTTTGACCATTGAAGGCCAGATTCACCTGGAGCCAAATCTACCCCATGAGACTTGTTATAGAGAGCACAGAGGAATGGTCCACAAGCCATGATCCCACTGTCCTGGGGGCCACTGACCTCCTTTAGGGAGGCCTGTGTTCCTAGAGGGAAAAATAGAAGAAAAGATGTTTTTGGGAGTCCTCTTTTTCAGAAGAAAATGAGCCCCAAGTATTGTCTTGTGGGTCATTGAGAACAGAGGCTGCATGTGGGAACATCTAATCTCCCCCCAAAACTGGAAGTGTTTTGTTTGTTTTGGGCTAGTGCTAGAGTTTGAACTCAGGACCTTACACTCTCCCTTTGCTTTTTAGGTCAAGGCTGGTGCTCTACCAGTTGAGCTATGCAACCACATCTGGTTTATTGCTGTTTAATTAAAGATAAGAATATCAAGGACTTTTCTGCCCACCATGGTGTTCAAACCTTCAATCCTCTGATCTCAGCTTCCTGATTAGCTAGGATTACAGGTGAGAGCCATCCATGCCTGCTGGAATTCCCAGGAAAAGCTCAACACTTGGCATTCAAGTCAGTCATTACCATCTACTATATTTTGGAAAGTGATGTTAGCATTGATGTCAGGGTGGTAAATGAAATAAAAATACAACTGGTGCTTGAAATGTGTCTGTAGCCACCAACCTCAGAAATTGTCAAATACACCCTGTGGAAGGTGTTCTCCATGGTAGAGTGCTTGCCTTGCATGCATGAGGCCCTGGGTTTGATTCCTCAGCACCACATAAAGCAGAAAAAGCTGGAAGTGGTGCTGTGGCTCTAGTGGTAGAGCTGAAGAGCTGAGGGACAATGCCCAGGCCCAGAGTTCAGGTTCCACAACTGGCAAAAATAAAATAAATAAATAAATAAATACCCTGTGGATATGCAGGGCCCTGAGAATGCCAGTTCATTCCTCTGTGGGTGTCTGAGCCTGTCCCAGGCCCAGGGGCTACCATGGGGAACACAGTATCCCTGCCCCTACAGAGCTCCTGCCCCAGTGGGCAGCAAGACAGAGCAGTGAGGGCATCTAGAAGAAGAGCCAGGGGACAACAAGAGCCACAGAGGGCATAGAGTAAGGAGAGGTGAGAAAGAGGGGTTCCAGGGATTCTAGAGGAGGGGGTCAGGGAAGGAATCTCCCCAGGACACCCTAAGTGTGAACCAAGGTAAGCCATGAAGCCCCTGGGAAGTTTGTTGCACAGAGGGGGCGGCAAGTTCAGGGGCAGTAAAGAACTGAAGATCATGCCACATGCTGGTGACTCATGCCTGTCAACCTAGCTACTCAAGAGGCTGAGATCTGAGGATCTCAGTTCAAAGCAGCCCAGGCAGGAAGTCCCTGAGACTCTTATCTCCGATGAACCACCAGATAACTGGAAGTGACGCTGTGGTTCAAGTGGTAGAGCACTAGCCTTGAGCTCACAAACAGTGTCTATGCCCTGAGTTCAAGCCCTACAACCAACTAAAAGATTTTTTTTGTTGGTCTTGGAGCTTGAACTCTGGGCCTGGGTGCTGTCCTTCAGCTCTTCAACTCAAGACTAGCATTCTACCACTTGAGCCACAGAGCCATTTCTGGTTTTCTGGTGGTTCATTGGAGATAAAAGTCTCACAGACTTTCCTGCCTGGGCTGGTTTTGAACCGTGATCCTCAGATCTCAGCCTCCTGAGGATTACAGGCATGAGCCACCAGCACCCTGCCAAAAGATTTTTTTTTTTGGTCCGTTGTGGGGCTTGAACTCTGGGCCTGGGCGCTGTCCCTCAGCGCTTCAGCTCAAGGCGAGTGCTCTACCACTAGAGCTACAGTGCCACTTCCGGTTTTCTGGTGGTTTATTGGAGATAAGAGTCTCACGGTCTCTCCTGCCCTGGCTGGCTTTGAACCGTGATCCTCAGATCTCAGCCTCCTGAGTAGCTAGGATTACAGGCGTGAGCCACCAGCGCCTGGCTTTGCCAAAAGATTTTTGGAAAAAGAAAAAGAAATGGAGGTCATGCTGCTGGAACCAGTAAGACACACACACACACACACACACACCCCTATAGTTTGACACCTGGAAGTGGTCACCCTAATTTGGTGTCATTTCCTGCAATAACATCCATAGCACCCTCCAGCTCCTTGGAGCACTTCCCCACTTTCTCCTGGTGATATTTCTGGACTGTTGGAAATAAAAGAACTGGGAGTGCCTGGCACACCAGCTGTTCTCCTTCGAGTGGTGGTCAGCACCATGGACAGAGCCTTAGGCCTCCCATCTCCAGGCTCTGCAGCAGGGAGGCAGAGGAGATAGTTATCACAACAGGAAAGGCCACCCATCCCTCCCCTGCCCAAGAAATAGGAGAGGAGGAAGTTCTTACAGGGAGGATCAGTTTCTTCTTACGCCTTCTGCCCTGTGTGTCTTCCACACATGGAGGGACATTAGGGCCATGGCTTGTCCACTGCACTTTCCCACAGGGAAGATGGCTACACCTCCAGCGTGGCCTTGTGGAGAATGAGGGCTGGCTCCAGACGCATGGTGTGGGCCGGTTCTGGAAGTCAGGGATCTGGTGTATGGCACTGTGATAAGAATAGGCAAGTCCCTGCTTGATCACCAGCAGTCTCAAATAATGATCAATACATCAGTTAACCAATCATCACCTGAGACTTACGATACTACCTCTGCCTATCATAGTGATGGAAACTTCTCACGAGTAACTTCTGGCTCCACTGCCTGGCTTTGGAACTACATCTATCAGTCCCAGAGACCACTACCTTGGACAAAGTGTCCCCCTCCTGAGCCCCAGCTGGGTCTCCGGGAAACTGATCCAAGCTTTACTTCCTGGACCATTCAGCAAGATGCTTTAAGCCAAGCTTTGTCACCACCCCCAGCCCCTCCAAGTTGCCCTGTGTCTGGTCCCTGAGGTGTTAACCCCCCCTCCACCCCCCACTCCCCGGCTTGGATGGGAAGGTACCTGGTTCCCTCTCCTCCTTCTTGAAGAGTCGCTGAGCCCCACAGACTCCCTCATACCCTTCAGATCCTCATTAATCGTCTTCAGGGGGAAAAGCCCTGGGAGGAGCAGCAGGTTCTAGAACATTCCACTCTCAAGAATCACTCCTGAGCTGGGTGCTGGTGCCTCATGCCTGTAATCCTAGCTACTCAGGAGGCTGAGATCTGAGGATCATGGTTCAAAGCCAGCCCAGCAGGAAAGTCCATGAGACTCTTATCTCCAACCAGAAGTGGTGCTGTGGCTCAAGTGGTAGAGCTCTTGTCTTGAGCTGAAGAGCTGAGGGACAGAGTTCAAGCCCCACCACAACCCTCCCTCCAAAAAAAAAGAATTACTCCTGAGTCTTCCCCTCCGCAGTAGCCTATGTGTTGAATGCTATTTACTTTTTTAATTTTTAAATTACTTTTTATTATCTTTAAGTAGTTGTACAGAGCAGTTTTATAAAAAAGTAGTTCAGGGGCTGGGAAGGTGGCTCAGTGGTAGAGTGCTTGGCTTGCATGCATAAGGCCCTTGGTTCAATTCCTCAGCACCACATAAGCAGAAAAAAACGGAAGTGGGGCTAAGTCTCAAGCACTAGAGCACTAGTCTACAGCTGAAGAGCTGAGGGACAGCACCCAGGCCCAGAGTTCAGGCCCCAAGACCGACAAAAAAAAAAAGTAGTTCAACAAAGCAACTTATAAATACAATGACTCTTGATCCATGTCATCCCTTTCAACATCCTCACCCATCTTTTTGTCTCGTTCTTTCTGTACCATGTCTAAAAGGAATCTTTGCTAGCAAGGCACCAGTGGTTCATGCCTATAATTCTTAACTACTTAGGAGGCTGAGATCTGAAAATCCCAGTTCAAAGCCATCTGGGGCAGGAAAGTCCATGAGACTCTTATCTCCAATTAATCATAAAAAAAAGCCACTTGAGCAGTGGCTCAAATGGTTGAACACTAGCCTTTAAGGGGGCAGGAAAGGAGCTCAGGGGCAGTGTCCAGGCCCAGAGTTCAAACTCCAGGACAAGAAAGAAAGAAAGAAAGAAAGAAAGAAAGAAAGAAAGAAAGAAAGAAAGAAAGAAAGAAAGAAAGAAAGAAAGAAAGAAAGAAAGAGAAAGGAAAGAAAGAAGGAAGGAAGGCAGGAAGGAAGAAAGAAAGGAAGGAAGGCAGGAAGGAAGAAAGAAAGGAAGGAAGGAAGGAAAGAAATCTTTGCCTATACCAGAATTGCAGATATATTCCTGTTTTTAATTTTTTATTATTTTTATTTTTTGCTGGTCCTGGGGCTTAAACTCAGAGCCACAGCACTGTCCCTGAGCCTGTTTGTGCTCAAGGGTAGCACTCTACCACTTGAGCCACAGGGCTACTTCCAGCTTTTTCTGTTTATGGGATACTGAGGAATAGAATGCAGAGATTCATGCATGCTAGGCAAGCATTTACCACTGAGGCACATTCCAAGTCCCTTCCCTGTTTGTAGAGTTTTTACACTTCAATCTTGTCATTGGATTTATGATCCACTATAAGTTGTTATTTTTTATCATGTAAGGAAAGATTTGAAATTCATTTTTTGTAGGAGAGTTATACATCTGAGTCTTGATATAATTTTTTTTTGTCAGTTGTGGGGCTTGAACTCTGGGCTTGGGCCCTGTCCCTGCATTCTTCAGCTCAAGGTGAGCATTCTACCACTTGAGCTACAGTGCCACTTCTGGTTTTCTAGTGGTTTATTGGAGATCAGAATCTCAGGGACTTTCCTGCCCGGGCTGGCTTTGAACCATGATCCTCAGATCTCAGCCTCCTGAGTAGCTAGGATTACAGGCATGAGCCAACAGACCCCTGCTTACTTTTTGGCTTTTTCCTGTTTATGTGGTACTGAGGAATCTAACCCAGGG